AGGCGGGGGAGATGCTGGCGGGGAGAGCAGCCGGCGGAGACCCCCGGGCGCCTTTCCTGAAGGGACAGTTCTGCTACGAACAGGTGCTGCCTTCCTTCTTTGAAGTAAACGTTCTGGTAACACTGACCATTTTCAATGCCATTTGAGCGGAAAAAAGAGACACCTTGCAAACACTACGAGAGACGCCCACGCCTGGTTTTTTTTCCCCTTGAAAATCACCAGGTGTCCCCCTAAATAGGTTTCTCCTACCCTTCCCTGCATGGATTCAGTACTGCTCGTAGCGCAGCGAGCAGCACGGTGTAAAGCCGCCTCAGGGGTTGCAGCGGAACAAAATTAGCTCGCTCAGGGTTTCTGCTGTGGGGCCCTGCCCTCCTTCATGTTTTCATTAATGAGTTGCCTGATTGTGGCAGGATCCAGACTGACCCCACGGAGCAGAAGACCCGTCTGTTTCTTGATGAGCTGGCTTGGATGTCCACGCTCCATACTGCTGCCCACCACTGCATTTATTTTTGGAGCAGGTTTTAGCTTCCAGATTTTGGGGCATAGGTCTGTATTGCCTAAAAACGCGTGTTCTCATCGCACTGCAACTGCAGGTGTTTGTTAGGAAAATATCACTGCCTGATCAGAGCCACCCGACTCCTTCTGACAGCCCTGCATTCTCAGGGAAGGGGAGAGCGCAGGTGCCTCCCGTACACCTTTTTCTGATACTTGTGAGAGCTTGTTGTAAAAAGGCACTGGTTTTTTTTTTTCCCAAAGTTCTTTAAAAAACCCAGTCGTAATGGCTGCGCTCCCGAGACATTTAGTAGCTTAGACAATTCACAGTTTGGACAGAATTAACCAGGGGCATTTTGTCATTGTGAGGATGTCTGAACTGACTGTCGAACTATCGCTCACTCCCAAGCGGCTGCAGTCCGGTGGTGTTTTATCAAAACATATAGAAAATTTGAAGGAAAAGTAAAGGGAAGAACATCTTAATTTCAATATTGTTTTTACTATGCTTATAAGCATGCATAAAAATATTTTAGTAAGGACACCATGCTCAGTTAACGGTTGCATTGGAGTTGTTTAACTGTGTGTTTTTAAATACGGCTTCTTCTTTGACTTAATGCAGAAGCAAATACGATGATTCTTAGAAGTAAAAGCATCTCTGCTGTTGCAGGCGATGCCTTCGTAAGAAATGCGGGGAGACAGCTGGGTCCATAAAGCCTTCAGACATCTGAGCTTGGTCTTTGTGAAACCAAGCCTTAGCCGAGATGTAAAAGCAGACACTTAAAACCCCAGAGGTGTTAAGAACAGCTCACCCCGTTGAGGGATGTCAGATAGGTAGGACAGGGCATCCGAGTTAGACTCTGTATCTCCTTCAATTAAAAAGGTGCTATTTTGAGGGAGGGGAAGAAAGGCTGTCAGCACATCTTTTGGTTTCAGAGATGATGTTTGTATACCACTACTTACATTCAGGGCTTTTTTAAATAGATATAAAAACCAGGAAACTTCGTTTGAAAGTCCTAAGCGCTTCCACCCTATCCAGCTTCCTTGTGGCTGTTGGCTTACTCTGTTGTCTGTCACTTCTAAGGATGTAATTTTTTGTTCTTTGTTCATGAGGGAAATGGTCCAGGTTGAAAAACTGTGAGAGAGTGTGTACCGGGGAGTTACGCTGCCGTACGTACTCTTCGCTCTGTGTCCTTCATTGTTTACGCTGTCTTTCCCAGGGGTTGTATGAAGAAGCATTAACAGAATTTGAAAAAACGAAGGATACAGATTTTCAAGCAATGTATCAGCTTGGTGTAATGCATTACCACGGACTAGGCACCAAAGAAGACCCTGTGAGTAGTTTAGCTGTACGCTTTTAATATTGGCTGATTACCAAGACCCTCTTTGTAAGCTTGATTATTTAATTTGAAATAAACAGGTCTTTGACTTACAGTTAGTTTCATAAAGTACAGATGTTTATAAAGCATCATTAAAGACACAGGATTCTGGGCTGAAGAAGTTCCCAAAAATAGCTGTAATAAAACAGGTTTATCTGAAATGCAATAATTTGTTTTTTAAAATATAACTTCTAAGGGTTTGGTTGTACTTTGTGTGGATGCTATGTTTAAAAAATGCCATTAACTTGTTGCATTTTAATAAGCAGGGTATATAAATAAAATGTGTGAAAATGGAAATCAAACAACTATATTTCAAAGGGTAAAACATCTGGTGCACAAAGACGTTGTTTAAGTTGCTTTCGATTCTTTTAACGTGGATACTAGAGATCGTGCTTCTGCCGGTGGTTGGCAGGAATATTTGTAAATTAGCCAGATGAAGAATTACATTTGCAAGACTTTGAAGAATTCAGATTAAATAACGACATCACCAAAAAGGAAGACAAAGGAATAAATTGCTACAATAAGAAGAAAAGTTAATTTATTGGAGAACATGACCTTAAAGAGTGGTATGAGGAGAAAATACAAATAGGATGAAAGAAAGAGTAGGTAACAATACGGGAGGGCAAAAAAAATGACCCAAACAGCGTATTAGCGAACTGGGCTCTGGCCTGGTGCTTAGAGGATTGTCAGCAGAGCAGAAAATACTCTGCTGGTTTTCAGAGGTGATTTATTTGTTCTGTAGACCTGTGTAATCACCACATGGGTTTTCTTGCAAATCAACACTTTAGTAAAGTTTCTTTTTTTGTGTACTACAACATGAGAGGTAAATAAGAGGAATCTTTTATAAGGAAGTGTTTCTAGTATGTCTTAACAGGGTGTCAATGCCAAGTCCTAACAGTGCAAATCTTGTTTCCAAAATACCTTTGAGGCCCTCGGATGCACCATACAGCTGCTCATATGCAATGATGTTCTCCGTTTGCTTATTTAACATGATCATTTTTTTTGTCCATTGTGAACCTAAGGCATTTTTAAGGGAGGGACGTCAGAGTGTGCTATTGCGTCAGTTTGCCTTCTGCTAAGGTTGTTTTGCCATTTCAGATACACCATGCAATATGAAAAAGTTTACAGAAGTCTCATTTACAGAAGTCTTAAAATTGAAAACGTAGCAAGTTTAGGATGTGACATTCATTTATGCAAGCACAGCAGCATTCTTGAGAAAGTTTTTATCAAGCGAGTGAGTAATACAATAACAGATGAACATTTATAAGGAAATGCTTCACATTAAAAATGGGGGAGTCAAAAATCTAGGGGCTGTCTAGTAACCAAGATCAGTTCTGCTTTGACACCGTTCTCCAGACTGTCCTACCGGTGGGCTTCAGCCTTTCTTCAAAGGGGAAAAATTGCCTGTCTTGGCAGAAGTTAGCGGGTTCTCAGGTTCTTTATTTCACGCTCTTTGGAGTCTGAACGCAGTAACTAAAATGTCTCCATTTTAGGAAAAGGGAGTGGAATACATGAAGAAAATACTCTGCTCTGACTCCCCGAAAGCAGGACACTTGAAGTTTGCAGCTGCATACAATCTTGGCAGAGCATACTACGAAGGGTGCGGTGTTAAGCAGTCAACTGAAGAGGCTGAGAGGTAATGGCAGGCAGTGACTTTCCTAACGACTAGGAGGTGCTGTGTTACTTCAGCTTTCTCTGTCCCCCCTTTGTTAGGTTGTGGCTTATTGCTGCGGACTATGGAAATCCAAAAGCAAGCGTGAAGGCCCAGAGTACTTTAGGACTGCTTTATTCTGTGTCGCCTCTAAAAGATCTGAAGAAGGTAAAGGCCCCTTGTACCTTTTCAGTTTCACAAGTCCCAATTAATTTTTATTTCTCAGAAAGATCAGTGATGTATGCACGTAAGTCTGTACGAACAGACAGCCAGAATCCCTCACTTTGACTCACTTGACACAGCTGGCCAAGATGATTTTTTTTTTTAGTGAGAGTATGAGGGAGAGCAATAGAATGGATTTAAGTTTTGTCAGCTTTGGTAACCTTCAGAAATCAAGCAGGTGTCACTGCCTGCCAGCTCTGACAGTAAACGAAGCAGGTTTCAGACCCTTACAAGGATTCTGCTTTCTTTTATGTATAAGCACATTTACAGGATGGTTGATGTAAAAGCTTTTATGGAAACAGTATGCAAGAAAAGCAGCTAAAGTAAATATATCCTCCAACTTTGTGCCTCTTGTTTAGGCCTTCTTTTGGCATTCAGAAGCATGTGGCAATGGAAATCTGGAATCACAGGGTGCACTGGGTGTTATGTATCTCCACGGACAAGGCACACGTCAAAACACTAAAGCTGCTTTGAAGCATCTGAGAGAAGCAGCAGAACGTGGAAACATCTATGCTCAAGGCCATCTCGTGGAATATTATTACAAAAGAAAATTTTACTCAACAGCTGCTGCAGTAGCCAAAAGGTGAAGTTAATTTTGCTTTATTTATTATTGTTCTTCATGTAAGACCATGTAACTGGGATTAAAACCATTAATAAATTCATGCTCTTGTCTCTCAAACACAAGAGAAGTTTGAGACAATGAATTGCAAAACCTCATCTTTAAAGGGGGAACAGCAAATCACAGGTAAAATTAATGCTACAAGGTTCTCAGTTACTCAGTACAGTTGAACTTTTCTTTCTCATCCTGTGAAGCAAAACAGCCTTGAACCAGAATCCCAAGCAGAAGCCCACACGCAACCCTGCCTTCCCGTCTCCTCAGTCCACGATCTCCTCTAGGCTCCGCCTTCCCCATTCCCTTTCAAACCCCTACAAGCGTTCTTCCACCTCCCCCATCTTAACGCCATTTCTACCCCCTGTCTTCTACCCCATCGCCTCCTTGCTCTGCGGCTCAGCGTGCTTTGGTCCAGCTCCCGTCTCCTTTCCTGTAAAGGCCAGCACTGATGCTGGGTGGGACCCTGCAGTAAGCACTCTGAGCAGCACGGCCTGGCACCTAGAGATGGCTGCTGCGCACAGTGCCAAGTTACCACCCTTCAGCTTTTCATCAGTTGCTGCCTATGAGGATGCATACAGCATCGTATTTCTAAGCCTGGACCTATTTTTAAGCCTTACGTATTTTTAAGCCTGGACCACAAAACAGGCGCCTGCACACAAGTGGTTTCTGGTGATGATCTGCTTGTGTAGAGCCACAGCTGGGCAGCACCGCCCGGCCCTTTCGCAGGCAGTCACTGCACACTCGCTCTGCCTCCAGACCCTGGAGTGGTTGGTGCAGTGCAGAAATAGCGACTTCTGTTACAGGCTGCAGCATTTCAAACAGCCCGTCTGCGTCCTGAACGAGTCATGGAGAGGAAAAGCAAAGCTGGTGCCAGTTCTGCAGCTGATACACAGCGCGCTTCTGTGACAAACCTCCAGAGCTGGCCGGCAGACGTTCGAAGTTCAACCTGTCAATCAGATTATTAATTTGCTGGAAATAAGATGCAGACCCACTGACTGCTTATACAAGCCGCACACAACAGCATTCGTGGGTTATGTTCCTACCAACTACGCAGTTTGTTACATTATGTACAAACATACAAACATTATGTGATTTCTACACAGTATAACCTTGACTAATATTCAGAGTCCAGATTAGCTACTGGTACTTTATTTCAAATAACAACTTTATTATCCCGTACAGTTCTGCCTACCCATTGCTACCATACGTTCCTAAAGTCAACTGTGCTGAACTAGAATCTTTGCCCAACTTGACTGGGTATTGTTACTTACATCAGCATCCAGTTGCGTATCTTTTGTAAGGCAAAAATGCTGTATATCAGGAAAGATAAAAGAGGTACTAGGTTACTGTTGTGATGTTTGAATGTTCTTGCTGACAAGTCTTTGGGGTTTTTTTCCTGTTCTGTTACTGCATTTGTTAATGGGACCAAATCAGGCGGGAGAACATTGGTCTCGACACATTCAAGTGATTCAGCAGGCACTGAGTTGCAAAGCGTTACTTCAGAACTATCTTCCATAAACACTGATTGACAGGGAGAAACTGTAAACGAAAATGACTTTCACTTTTCTTTCTTTTTCCTGTCAAGTCTGCCACACAACAAAAAACTAAAATGACGTGTGAAGCAGCATATGATTATTGTTTGGTATCTGGAAAGGACACGGGGCTTGGGGGTTTCTGCTTTAAGACAACAGTTAGGAAAAAAAAAAAATCAATTCCCACTTATGAAATGTTGCATCTAATACGACAGTAACAATATTAGGTCATTATAGCCCGGTAGTTAAAACAACGTTTTGTTCTGCTGATTCTTAGAATGGTTCCTTGTAAAGACAACCTGCTGAAAATAAGGTGACAGCAAGCAGACAGATGCATACAGAAGAAAGAAAATAATTGAGCTCAAACAGTCATAAGTGGTTGTCTTAAGTTGGTCTTATAACCAAGTTTTATACATATATATAATCTCAAGTGTGTCCAAGATCTTCAGGTTACTATGATTTGCCAACATGCTAGAAAGAACCTGAACCAAAGGATCACAGAATCCTGGAATGGTCTGGGCTGGCCCCTTAAAGCTCATCTCGTTCCAGCCCCCTGCTGTGGGCAGGGACGTCTTCCACTAGAGCAGGGTGCTCAGTTTTGTTGAAGAAGAGCTTTGCCTTTCTTCCACGTACATACTCATTGCCACGAACTCTTTTAATAGGACCAATGAGCGTAAAATTTGCTGCCTTTTGTAACTAATAGAACTATAGCAAAAGGGACTGCAAAAGTTACATATTTATTTGTTATTTAATACCACAATATTCAAATAAGACTAACTTCAGATCAAATACTGCGTACAAGAATCCTCATCAGGCTGCTGACTGCATGTAAACTTCAGCTTATTTTGGACAATGATGTACACGGGAAGGTGTCACTGTCGAGTCATACATGGTCAACTTCAATTATTGCTTGAAATAGCATCATCTAACTTAATCCTGTGAATTCCTCACCAGGGTTACAGAAAGCGACGACATCGATACGCTAGCAAAGGTGACCGACTGTCTTCCTGCGTACATAGCCAAGGGGGTTGCTATGGCTGCTTTCTACTTGGCCAGATGCCTCCAGCTTGGCCGAGGGGTACAGCAAGACCAAGCCGCTGCTAAAAAATACTATTCTAAGGTGAGCTGGGAGAGTCCTACAGACTAATTTGTAGCTCATGAAATTGAGTGACACCTTGGATACGAGTCTTTAAACTCGCTGTCTGGTTAAAGACTCAAACGTTATTTATGTAAAAAAAAATCTGTGCAAGAAAATTAAGAGTGATAAAAGCATATTGAAAACTACTAAAAATAGTCTTGAAAGGATACTATCCACCCACTTGCTTAAGCAAACACCACATTCTGCCAAACAAACAAAATCTGTGATAATCACCACAGCAAAGAACTTTGTGACCTGCAAAATAAATTAACTAAATTAAGTGAATAATTTTAGCCCCAACTGATTTTCTGTCATTCTCTCAAACTGAAAAATCACAATTTTTCCTCTACTTTAGATTCTCTAAGAATTACAACCTTCATTAATGATACCTAAATCAGTCATAATTGGTTGTCATGCTTATTTTTATATTTTTAGCAATAGCTGAGGATCTGCTGTTACAGATACACCCCCTGCTGTCACTGATCCCTCCCTGCTCATGGCAGGGGGGGTGGAACTAGACGATCTTTGATGTCCCTTCCAACCCAAGCCATTCTATGATTCTACACTACGGAAAAAATAGGTCACATTTCTTGAGCTAAGTTGAAGTAAGATTTATTGCTTGAGGAAAAAGAACAATAATGGCTTCTAGAAGATGAATCTGCTAAATAGTATCAGTGATGCCTAAAGGTACAGTCAAGGCAAGATGATTATGCCTTTAACCAAAGCGAGCATAGCAAGATTGGATCTGTGCTTCAGAGAGACTCTAGGGTTTCTGTGCACGTAGAGAGCATTTATTTCTGCAAGTAGAACACTTCGATGTCCAGCTTGGGGCAATCCAAATAAATGGAGAGTTACCTAAATGATAAATTATCAAGCAACAACTTTTGTGGCTCCTTACTCAGGGAAGCCACCGATCCAAGAGGCCTAGCAGAGCAGGGGATCCTCTGAATACACGCATTTTAAACATTTTGTTCTCCTGCTGGCGAAAGTGTTCCAGAGGACAGGATGAGGAGGAGTCAGGAGAAGAATATAAACTGGGGTGTTGTGAACGCTGCAGTCAGTAGTCCCAGAGAAGTCTTAAGGCACAGAAGAGGCCCATCAGGATGGCATTGCTGTATGGCTTTGTGCGCGTACAGCCCTTCCCAGTGTCTCCCACCAGGTCTAGCGTAGCCACCACAGCTGAAAGGAAATTTCAGCTTCCACTCCTCATTCACTAGCTGCACTTCCGAGACTGATCTAGGACTGTCACTAGCTTCTTAGTGCAAGAAGAGGTGACTTCTCTTGACTGGTGCCACACATCTCTACATCAACAACAGAAGAGAAGGGACAGAAAATATGGCCTTGAGTTGCGTCAGGGGAGGTTTAGATTGGATATTAGGGAAAATTCCTTTACTGAGAGAGTTGTCAGGCATTGGAGCAGGCTGCCCAGGGAGGTGGGGGAGTCCCCGTCCCTGCAGGCGTTCAAAACACATGTAGATGTGGCACTTCAGGATGTGGTTTAGCAGGCATGGTGGTGTTGGGTTGATGGTTGGACTTGATCTCAGAGGTCTTTTCCAACCTTAATGATTCTATGAAAACAAACAAGGAAGCTGCCTGAAGCAGTAACTTTAGAACAAGACAGGAGTTGTGGGTGTGTTCAGCTTCTTTTGTACTTGGAAAATAATTCTCGTGTTAACTGTACAACTTAAAATTAAAATCATGTTTGCTTTTTTAATTAACTGCTTAGCTGCATTTTTGGCCTACCGTGCTTAGACCTAGTCAGTTTTGAAAGAGGCAAGAAAGAGTAGATGGGCCTCCCAGAGGGTAATGAAACAGATAATGGAAGTGAATGAAACCGACCCAATCTGCAACCAGGTTTATGCTTCTGACTGTAGTGCCAGCACATGCCGTACCAACAAACAGAATCAAAAAAATAAACCCAAGCCTAACACTATGGTCAAGTACACTCATTTTAAATATGGAATTTTTCTTACATGGCATCAGAAACAGGGATTTAAAGCCGACTCTATTTACTCTTAATATTTTAACCAATTAATTTATCTCCAATAATGCCAACAACACTTACAGACCTCATTAATGTGACATTGACAGCATACAATTTTATTTCAGCTATAAACTAGAACTCCTTGTTCTTTCTTTTTAAAGGCATGCCTTCTGGATCCAGGTGTTGCTTCTGACCTTGAGCTGGCAGCCAATCTTGGGAGAATTTAGTGTTTCTTTGAGCTGTGACTGGTATATAAATATATTCCCTACAATAAACCATTTCTAACCTCCAGCAATTCCAGACTGCTCATCATTTACTGCTTGCTTTTCAACTTTCTGTAAATTATCACTTAAAGCAATTTACTGATTCTTTTTTATCTAAAAAAAGAGAAAGCAATCAGCTCACACCCTTTAACTGAGATGAGGCAAAGGCAGACTTTTTAAAATGGTACTGAAGACTTAAGATACGTGAAGGACATTTTACTGGGACAGATGTCCTGTGTTTTCTTAATGTAACTCTACCATACAGCACATGAATTAAACTAAAACCAAATAAAACAATTGCTTCCTTTTCTGCATTTTTAGTATTTAAACATGGAATTTTAATATTACAAAAAGCTTGAACCCAAACTTGTCTAGTTTTCACATACAACCCATTCACAGGTCACGACCATTTTTACACCTCGCCTTTGCTAGCGGTGTGTGTACTTTCTTTCCCAGGCTTTCCCCGTGCACCTGGATCTACTGAATGTCTTCACGCATATTTTACTCTCAGACTGCAGAGATTCAAAGTTGGAGACTGGTCTGTATGACACTAAGCTTTACAGTTCAAACAACGTCAGCTTCTAAAATTAGAAAATACTACTTACAGAACTACTGAAAAAAACCAGCAGTACGGCAGCATTCGTTTACACATCCACTGCCCGGGGCCTGTTGTCTTCAACCCCTCTTCATACTGCATTTACACCACCTCTGCAACAGAAATAGTTGGAAACCTTTTGCCTAGGAGTGGGTATGCCTGAGCAACATTACGCTGAATCACTTATCACAAGATACTCCGATTAACCACGAGTAAAATTCTGCTGATTGCTATGGCAAGCTTGCACATTTCTAAATACCTGTTTACTCATACAACTTCGTATGTGCAGGAGAATTTGCTTCTTAGGACTGTGCCGTGACTTGAAAACTTTTTTGAAACTCTGTTGGAGGAGAAGGCCAGATGTTACTAAAAACACCGATTTAGACATAGTGTAGGGATTTTGCGTACTTTAAACTACAGCCAGTCTGAGCTGCAGGCAGCTTTTCTAAGAGCACAGCTCTACTGAATTTAAAAAGAAAGTAATGAGTGTCACCTAGGGATTTTTGATGATGTTTAATTATTTAGGTGTGCATTAAGACCATATTTACACATTTTTACATAAATTAAAAAAACACCAAAGACATAGCTTGCTTTCCTTGTAAAAAATAAGGGAAAGATTTGAAGGTTGTTTGAAATTGGGGTATTTGAATAAAACAGCCCTGAGTAATATCAGGGAAGTTATTAGAATGCTTTAATTAAATGTCTACTTAATCATTCATAGAAGCAATTCATAAGCACTAATCTCTGAACTAACATTTAACACGGGCATTCTGTCAGGACATACCAGTTTACAATACATATTTTCGACACAGACTTCAAAGTAACACGAAGATTCCTTACGAAACCAGTGCTGTCAGACTCACTCATTAGTTGTCAGTACAGCCTCATTAGCAAGTGCTGCAATCCAGTTGTGTGATTTATTGCTTACAAATGCTTCGAACTATGGGAAATCTTTGGTAAAAACAAAATTGATAAAATTTTCCACAATAGTTTTACATGTAGTATTGCACGACAAGGCTTTTTCAATACACAAGAAAAAAAGGAATGCTCGAATCCTCAGTGAGGAGATTAGAACTGTACAACATTCATTAGTTTACCACTATAAGCAAAATTTCTTTTCATAAATGTTTAAAATATTTTCTGGTTTCTTTCAGCTTATATGAACATTTATTTTTCAATCTATATTTGAAACAGAAGAGTAGTCAAATAGAACAATTTAAATAAAAATTGGCAACTATACAGCATTGTTTTGTCTACCCTACTACAGCATCAGATCTTTTCAAGTCTGTTCACCTCACAAAAAACTCAAGAGGAAAGAAAAACGCTAAAAATAATCATAGTCCTCAGCCCTCTCTGGAAAAGAGGAAAATAAGTTTCATGTCTATTATTGGACATAGACATTTCTCTAGTGGTCCAATTGTGCAGATTCCAACCTAAGTGGCATTAAGCTGCTCTAAATGAGCTCTGAGCTCAGGACACAGTTCCGTTAGCAGCAGTTCCAGCAAAACCTGAAAAACGGAGAAAAGAGTCAAGATGAGCACAGGCACCAAGTGAGAATTTCTTCTTCCTTTCTGACACGTTCAGAGCCTCATAAGTAACAGAAGCAGGCAGGGTCATTCCGCTCAGCATCCATGCAACTGCTTTCCTTTCGCCCTGAAGTTAGCCCGCGCCCTACAGATAAGATGGGAAACGTCTTCAGGCTGAAGGAAGGCCAGTGCCACGGGCAGCTGCGTTCAGAGGGCCATCTCCCACCCTGGCCCAACTGCTGCCTTTCTGTCGACGCTGTGGTAGCTACAAACGCGAGCACCGGGGCACACACCTCCCGTGCCGAGGCTACGCCACCCGACTGGTGCCGAACAAAAGGAGCAGAAGAGACTGGCCGAGCACGAGGGGATTATGCTGGGATCCAGCTGTGTGCTCCGACCAGTCCCAACCAACAGGAGAGCAGTGGGACTTCTGGAGGGCTGTCACGTCCTACCCGCGAGCCAGTCCTGGAGCTCTCCTTCCCGAGGATTCTCCAAGGCATGTTTATTTTTCTCAGCTATACAAACGAGTTCGTTTGAACCAAGTACATTTTTTTCTAACATATTTTAATAACAAAAAAAGTCACTTGCACACCAAACAACAGCCCAACAAGAACACACAACCCAGGCTCTAACACCGAGTGAGCAGAGCTCAGCAACTGACAGAATCACAGAATGGTCGGGGTTGGCAGGGACCTCTGTGGGTCATCTAGTCCAACCCCCCTGCCAAAGCAGGGCCACCTACAGCAGGCTGCACAGGACCTTGTCCAGGTGGGGTTCGAATATCTCCAGAGAGGGAGACTCCACAACCTCCCTGGGCAACAGGACTATAAAGTAAAAAGGCTGCTCTTCTCGTTACTTACATAGAGTAGATGCTTGTTGGCCTTTCGTTCTTGCAACGCATTGAACACTTTCACAACACCGTGACGGGCATTTTGTTGTCCCACAAGACTCTGCAGAGTATCTGCAACAAATGGTACTTCAGCTTACATCGTTCCCTCGCGCTAGGCAAAACCCCCAGGTAATGCTACCACCCACCCAGGAGGGGAAACAAAACCACGGCGCTTCGTGGTGCTTGGTTACAAGGGACAGAGCCCCCTTCCACCAACCTTTTAAAAACACACAGGCAACTTTGGCCACAGGCTGAAGAGGCACCCTTATTTCAAGTTACCCAGGTTAAACAATAGTGTATGCATCTCAGTGTCAACACTTTAAGTGTTTTCACAGGATATGTAGGACGTCTTTTAGGTAGTTCACCTCACAGAGTCAAGTCTAATCTCATACATTATTAAACCGTTGACTTAAATGCACCTTCGGCCACAAAGACAGAATTCCTGCAGCAGTTAAAACAGATTTAGCACTTTGATTGCCTCTCAGCCTTCCCAGAAAATACTTCCCACAAGTACGCAGATAAGAGAACTCTAAGTCAATAATTCACATTTTGGATTAAATTAGAGAATAAATAGTGATCCAATGCTTCATCATTAATTTAAGGTGCATTCAGCCATGTCCTGACGCATCTCTCCGAACTCAGAAACCAACCAACCCCCAAACCAACCATGGAAGGCTGTTCTAGGTAAGGAGGTGAGTGTGTAACAGAGCAGGTTGTTTACACATCCAATACTAATGTTAACACACCTGCTGCTACTTCTGCAGTAAAAGTTGATGAAACAACCTAATGCAAGGGGGTATACGAGATATCTCCGTGAAGCCATAAAATAGCTCATTAAAGTACATTCTATTCAGATGGAGGGGAGATGATGAGCATTCAAGCTATGTTTAAGTGCATTTCCAAGGGCTAAACAGAGTGAATTTTGGTTCTTCCCAGTTAGGTGCCTTTGGATTCACGTGATCTCTGAAGAGCCAAACCTGTGTAACTGGACTCCCTGTGTGGTGACTGGGATGGGATGGAGCATCTCAGAACGGTGCCACAGAAAGGTGCATGCTGAAGAGGAAGCTGCCCGGGCTGGGGAGGTAAGGGCAGGCAAAGGAAAGTTCTGGAAACCTCTCTCAACCTAGGATCCCTCTGTCCAGGCTGCAGGTCCCTCGTAACACTCAGTGCCCTGAAGCCTCTTCTCAGAGCCAGCCAGCCACTCACAACACCGACAGCGTGGGCAGACCTCCCTTCTCCAGTTTGAAACGTCAGAGGAAGAAGTCACTGGGGCGGTGCCACTCTCCCTGTTTGCCAAGCAGCTGCAGGTAGCAGAACCACCTGGTATTTGCTCACAGAGAACCAGAGAGAGTCTTAACTCAGGTTCCTTGATGAATATTACATACAGAAGAACAGCAATACTGGATTTTGCATCTGCCAATAATACCCACATCCATGCCCTTTACCAGACAGACAGGAGAGGCAAAGAGCAAGGTCAAAATTATCCTTACTTATGCAAATAATCATAATTTACAGCTCTACAGGAAAAACCTAAAATGCCACAGAACAGTATTCGACTCACTAGTTTCCTGACAAGTTATTGAATCTGTGATCAAGCAGAATGAAAGTGATCTCACCTGGAATGTTTTCAAGTAGTTTTTGCTGTGCTCTCTGTTTTGTCTCCTGCTTTTGTTCATCACTCTTGGCTCTCGGTGGTGGTGCTAACTTTCCATTCGGCCAAAAAGCATCTCGAAACACACCAATGTAGTAAACAAGCATTGGTTCACTGAACATCCAGTGCACAGTGTCACGGATTTGCCTGTAAAGAAGTGTAGAAGGAAGCATGTCAGAACTCATCTTTCATGTTTTATGCAGATTTATTCTTTTTTACTCCTAAAAGTAGTGGAAGCAACGCTTATTTTTACGTAATTATCCCAATTTATCTGAGCTGATTTCAGCAGCATCACAGCAAGTCGTATTCAGCTCTGGGTGCTCTAGGACCTCAGTCACTGCAGATACTTGACTGAGATGTGGAGAAGGCTACGTTTCAATGCAATCCACAAACACAGATTACAAGTTACAAGTACTACACCAAAATGCGAATATATTTCAAGGATGGGCAGTACAAAGGGTCCACTGAGAGAGGACATAAAAACCAGCTAACTAATTGTAGCAAACTCCAAACCTGTTGGGATGCACCTGGTGGGATAAAAGCAGATGAAGTTTTAATAAAAGCATGGTAAGTTGCCTCCTGCAGGCACCCACCGTAGCCTCCAGCACGAAGAGGCAGAGGCAGACAGCAGGCTCCAGGCAGTGCTGCCTAACTGTGCCACAGTACAGCCGAAACCCTTCAAATCACAGAATCACAGGTTGGAAACGACCTCCAAGATCATCAAGTCCAACCGTCACCCCAACAACACCATGCCTACTACAAAAATCAAAATCTCTCCCCTGTCCAGGGTTGCTCCCCAGAGCAGATTCCAAAATCAAGAACTGAATTCAGCCAGCATGTAAAAAGCTGCACAGCAACTCCACGTGCACGCTGTGCTTACACACTCTCTCTGTCCTCTCTCGAGTGTCTTTCATGCTCGTTACCAGCAGCGTGTGAACAAATGAAACGATCAATTTAGAGCTCAGCGAATGGGTACTGTCAGAGACCATCCGTTCACGGGGAGTCAACTGCTTGACCTTCCATCACTTCTTGTCCAATTTGACATCACATAACATATGTGAGAGGTTTTCAAAGCCATGCTGGCACGTGCAGATTTAGTTACTGACTGGACGAAGGGACAGCCTGATCTGTGGTAGATTGCTGGGCTGTAACGCCTACCTGAGTAATAGTCCCACTGCTACACCAAAGCAAAATAACGCATTTCATCAGAGTCTCAGTGGCCCTTTGCCTATGTAAACGTGCTACAGAAGTCACAGATTTGCAGACTTACATTTTATCAGAGTCTCAGTGGCCCTTTGCCTACGTAAATGTGCTACAGAAGTCACAGATTTGCAGACTTTCATAAGAAAAACATCACCATGCATAAAAGAATCAGTACTGATTGAAGAGTCATGGGAAATGTGTTTGACTCAATAGAGCAGATAATTGATACAAGCTGTACTGTAGGCCTTTGTATCTCACAAGGAAAGGAATTATCTCCCAATTTTTTCTGAGCAGTGATACAGCTTTCCACATGAAAGGTGTGTACAGACACACATGCTTACGTCACAGCCTCGCCCAGGCCTCACTTGGCAGACATGTCTTCAAATGATACAGAAAAACACGTTTACGGAAACACACCACTGTTATACACGTACAGGTTTCATGTTACAAATTAATGGTTCTCATCATGTATAAACGTTATTTCAGTCACTTTTGAGAAACATGTATTTGATTTGAAAGAAATTACTTAAAACAGAAACCTAGTTTCAGATCTGGCACAAATCTTCATGGGACTGTAAGGTAAAGCACAAGCTAATAAAAGCCATTCAGAGCCAGGCCATTCATAAAAACTAGACACCAAGTCTTCTTTTATATATTTTGTTATATATTTAATATTTATATATATTTCTATATGTATATATGCAAAGCTGCTTCACTATAAAGAAGAAAGTATCTTTTTATAGTTCCGTCTCCCACGAAATATTGTGTTCTTCCAAAAGCAAAGCCCTACATAGGGGAAAAAATATTGGGTTTAGGGAGTGTGCTACAGACTAAATAAGGAAAAAAATAATTCATATATCTGTGTCTTCTCTAATCAACATGACATATTTGTAAATTGAGCTGTGGAAAACAAATGCAGATTATCATATACAACAGAATGTCCAGATCATTTTTTTAACAATTCTTCTCACAGCCATTTTTTTCACAGCAAAATGATGCAGGTTCAGTTGAAGTAACAGCTACTTCAGCTACTTACTTGTTGATAGTTCTTCCAAAAGTGACTTGTACTAGTGCAATTAATGTTTTTCTGACCCACTTGAACACTAGGACAACAAAAAAAATGACAGAAAATAAAGATCAAGACAGTAACAGCATTAGCGAACCCATGATCACATCCAAAATCTTCCCCCCTGCCCCACCCCCCTAAAAAACCCCAAATCCAACCCACCCCTACAGTAAATATATTGGTTGTAATCCTTTAAGACTTCACTAATTGTACATGGGTCTCAATTTTCTTGACTGTTTTCCCTGTACTGTTTGCTACATGGTTTTTAAGTCTTGCAGATTACAGAAACATATCTTTAATATGCATTTGTAGCTTATACTGTAAAATTTTCTTTAAGAATATTTCAAATTTATTGAGCCATACAACTACCCAAAATCCTTTTCCTATTAGAAAAGAGAACCCCTCAAAATTCACAGCCTTTTCACACCTTATAATATAATGTTGCACACACAGCAGCCTCATTAAAATTCTGAAAACATTTTCACTCAAATCAACCAAACAGCTTTTCATTACAAATGAAGGAAACAAATGCGAGTTCTTCCTATAATTACTGGTTAATCTTTCTTTCATGCTGCTCACCATCAGCACAAGAAAGTCTATATTTGGAAGAGACATCTGCCATTTTTGGAAGATGCTGCATTTTGTAATAGTTACCCTGTAAATAATTCTACAGAGCATCAAGTGTGGCTGCGCATTCAAGCAGAGACAAAAATAGTTTTCTTTATTACCATCATTCAGTTACGTAAAGGAGGAAAAAAAATCTGGTACTGAAAGATGCCACAATTCCAGCATCTTTTCCATTATACAAATTGTAGAACTAAAATGCAAACCATGACACGCTTTAAATAGACATTAAAATTATGCTGCTTTGTCAGTGACATGTTCTGTGATAAAGCCATCTTTCCTCATTACTCACACATTCTAACATGCAGCCTATTTAAAGAAAACACACCTCTATTTTTCTGTTTTTTCCAGATTTTTTTTTAAATGAAAAACTTAAGACCATTGAATGCAAATGCTCTTTCCTACCAGTTAAATTTTTACTGCCATGTTATACTGGAATTTCACTTTTGAATGTTATGAAGTTATGAACTACCGAAGAACAGCTCCGTTCCAAACAAACTGGCTATACAGAGCAGAAGAACATTTCCGCTTTTTGAAACAGCGGAAAAATCTGAATTACGAAGTGCCCCAGATTCCACTAGCAAATAAGCAGGTTTACAGCGTACTTCCTCGCAGCTCAAAAATCTCCCCGATCAGCATGAAACACGGTTCAGCGAGAGAGTCCCTTTTCCCATCCCGTAGTCCGACAGGTCACTATCCTCTTCTGCTTCTTCCTAGGGAGAGAGACACAACACAGGTATGCACTGCAGTTCCCTGTCCTTCTCCCGGAATGGACTTAGTTACTGCCATGCCCTGGGGAAGGAGTGCAGCCAGCCCTTGGCATCAGAGCCACCGACTCTGCTGCTGGCAGTATCTGGCAAACAGGAACCTCGCCAAGGAGTCTGAAAAGGGACAGCACTTCCCACCGGACAAGAGTGATGAGGACACTCTGCATTGCTGGAGTCATCACCACCGCTAGATCCTCTGCCTGCAGCCTTGCCCCAACAAGCACATCCGTTTTGGGTGGATCTGCCCAGATTTGCAGGGTCCACTGCCTACATCATCCCGCCAACACTAGGGCTGGGTAAGGGAAAGCAGGTGACCTGGGAGCCATGGCCTGCTAGGAAGGAGGTAAGAGCTGCAAGGAGGAGATGGCACTCAGGTGTTGGTGATTGCAAAGCCTCCTCTGACAACACCCACGAAGGACGCGCAGGATGGGGAGCTAGCCAGCTGGAGACATTTGCAACACGAGCAGCTAGGAAGAACAGTGGAGAGTCTGGTTATTGCCCAGGCACCAGTAGGTAGCTGGCTCCCCTGGAGAGCAGATGGTGCCTCACACAGCTGAAGCCACTCAGTGGGACCAGGCACCAGCAAGTTGTCCTTGCAGTAAGCTGGGAACCAAACCCAGCACCGGAAGAAGAACTGGCCACTGCAAAGACAAGCACCATTAACGACTACCAGTCCCAGGCAGAAGCACAGTATGGCGGAATTTCAGTGACCTGAGCCTGAGGATACCCAAGCTCAGGGTACCAAAGGGAACAGAGTGAGAATAGACTCACAGGAGAAAAAATTGATTGAACCACCTCAGTGTTGGTGGTATCATTTATTCAAGAATAAAGAGCAGGCAACAGATTGTTTCTCAGCATCATGAAGATCTGCTTCAGCACCAGGACTACACCACCTGCCATTACTTGTGGCAGCCCGCGCATCCCTTTGCCTGCCGGGACCTTCCCCTGCCCGCCCATGCTTAGAGCAAAGCCGCAGTGAGGCAGATCTGACCCCCTGAAAACCAGAAAATCAAAAGAAGAAAACCCTTGGCACTGAAATGCCCTGTAAACGTCCACGTAGAGTCCCCTGTTTACCGACTTCCACAGCTTGAGGAGTTCAGCTTTTAAAGCTTTCTGCTAATGTTAGGCTAAGCTGTGGTTGAGGGCAAGGAACAAAAAGCCACACCATACTGACGAGAAATGCCACACAAGGCAACCAGAAATCATTACCCATCTTACCACACAAGCACACAAATTCCCTGACGATGAACAGTTTTCTGCAGGGACACAGCCCAGAGCAAAACTCCAGTCCTGCTCACTATCTCTCTCTGGTCAACAGGCTTCTTGGCCCTTTGTTACCTTAATTATTCAAGAAATTATGTTTTACTTAATTTTTCATAGTAGACATCATTGCATATTTTCATCAAGCACTTGGGCAACAGCACAGAAAATGAGCTTACCGAATTTGCAGGTGAGCTTACTGAATTTGTAGCTGAGCCCACAGGGTGCAGTTTGATAAAGACAGATGCAAAGCAGCAATAACGAACCGTCTAAACAAAACAACTGTTATTGATAATACTACAGAAAAAGCTCACAGGGCCATACTGCTGTGGAAAAGGCAAGTGCAATACCATGATGTTTACGCACGAACACTCTTTGCACGAGATGCATACATATATAGATAAAAAAATTATTTTCTTACATGGGAATAGGAAAACCTAGTGGGAGCATTGTGTTTCCAATTTTAGTCACCATATTTCCAAGAAAAATATGGATAATCAGGTAGGTCCAGAGCAAACCATAAGAACTAAATAAAATGTAACCTAACAAAACCTAGGAGAAATTGGGGCTGCTCAGTCTAAGAAATAAAAGACCAAAGGAAAGTAGTTACTCCTGGTAACTGAGATGACCCTAACCCAAACTGTTCTGTGTTTGCTGCAGACAGAACAAGAGCGAGCTAGCTAAAGATGGGAGACTTAGGTTAGACAGCAAGAAAAGGTTTCTAACCATGAAGGTAGTTGAGAACTGGGATACGCTGCCTTGCTCGGCCAGCGAACATCACTCAGAGGTTTAAAAACGCGTTAGACAGAAGTGTGCCAAATATGTTGCTGGTATGGTTGAGTCTGCTTGGAGCAGGAGGGTGAACCCAATGGCCTCTCCGAGGTCCCTGCTCTATTCCTCGGCTGTTCAGTGAATCCTCTATCGTTTAGAAAATGCAATGAGAAGTGTAAATTCTTATACCACAGTCCATTAACACTTCATAAACCTAGAAGCCTTTCCTCTAGATGATGCCAATTGCATTTTTTCCCTCTGATTTAGTTTTGGTCTTGAGAGATAAGAAATACGTTCTAAAGCTACTCCTGTCTAAGGAGCTGTATATATAAGAGATCTGAAATTGCTGCAATATCTAATCCTGAAAACAGCATTCAAGAGGTAATATTGTTGCTCTAATCCCTATTTGAGAATTGTGAGACAAGACATAACAGGCAAACAGAGCTGTATGAGAGCATTCTCTTCTACAAAGTCCAAAATATGAACTAAACCAGGAATTCTTAGTTACAAAGAGAACACAACTGTTAACAGCTTTGTAATGTGTAGTTTTAACACAACTACCTTCATTAATGACCTTGTACCGAACAATTTAACCCTAGTTTAACTGCTTTAGTAAATTATCAAAAATGCTAGCACTTGGCACTGAGCTGATCTAAAGCTCGCACTGAAAGACAAGGGTGTCCAAGAAAAATCACAGCTGATCCCAGACTGCCTCACAATCTCCCTCCCTCCGTTTAATTTTATCATTAAACTAGAACAAATGTTTGCCACACCGATCCAGAGGGTCTAACAGTTTCCTATACTCCCTCCATCTGTATTCTGTTGTCTCATCTTATGTTTAAGCTTAGGGAAGGTGGATGTGATGAGGGATGGGCTTTGCCTGCATTTGCACAGTGCCTGGCATAACACAGTCTAGCCAAAATTCAACTCCTAGTCCCACAAGTGACAAGTAAGAAATAGTATTGAATTTAAACTGAGTAAGAAGTTATGTTCTGACTCCTCTGGGCATTTTTTGCTCTACTTCCTTCATTTTTTCAGTAGCGGTTGCTTCATTTCTTTGTTCTCTCTCCTCTCTCACGCACTCTCATTACAAACTCCCTTTCCTCCTCCTGTATTTCCTAACTATCTCCTCCTACGCACTCAGGTAACACAGTATACGTGCAGTCTGGCTTTTTTCTTGAGGGTGTTTTTCAGTTAAATAGCGAAATACAAATAGTTTCATGCTTTTATGCTACTGTGACCTAACAGTCATTTTAGTGACCGCACTTTTGTTTTCAGAACTGCAGTACTTCTATTGAAGTGTAAAATCAGTTTCTCAAGCTTTCTTTATACTCTTTACTCTGAAATGAGACATTTGCATCCAGCATCTAGGTGCAAATGCAGTGCAATTTTGAAAAATGAAAATACATAGGATTTTCTTAATCCTGAGAGATGCAAGACCACCTTTTTGCCTATTAACAGGCTAGAACCATGCAAGTTCCCCAAATTCCACTGGTCCTGCAGAAGGCCATCCACTGCAGACAGCTACAGCATGTAAGAACAGAATTATTTCGTATAACTAAAAAGGGGAATAGAAAGAGCTCCGTGGAGGTTGCGTATCTGCAACGTGAACCACAGAGAACATAGCACCATGGAATTACGGCCAATTTTAGTCAATGAGCTGTTTTAGTCACTAATCTGTTTTTTATTGCTTTTCCAAAGGCAGCGTTTTTTTATAGCTGAGTATCAAATTCTCCAACCGTTTTGCCCACATGGGCTCTCACCTGTATTTGCAAATTCCCCCATTGAGCCAGTACTATTTGCCAAGATTCTTTGTCAAAACTAGCTTTGCTTCAGAAGCTGTCCAGAAATTATTAAGGATACACAGCTGTTCCCCGCCAAGAGAAGCTTCCTAAGAGACAATTATCCTTACCCTATCAAATATGCATGTCAAGAGCACAAAAATTTGCCACTCTGTGGGAAATTCTGCTATAAAAAAAAAATAATCCCACATGAGCTGCAAATCATTTATTTGTGATAGGTTACACATCTGCCTATATTTATTTATCAAAGGGCACGAAATTTACTTTATTAATAAATACCTCTTAAATTCATAGACAGCTCTTCTTTCTGACTCATTGTCCACTTTCAGTAAATTAAAAATGACCTTTGGAAATGCCTTGCGATATTACCTGCCATTCAAATGCATTATATTAATGGCTCTCCCTGCTTACTTTGGAGAAGTAATTAAATTTTGGAAGATTACTTTTGTACACCACTTACCTCCTGATGGGAAAACAAATCACCAGGAAGTCTTTCTAGAAATGAGGAGAGTGAAAAAGACGACTTCTTTCCTTGTACATCAATAACTTTGAGGTGCTCTGGGGAAGGGCTCAAGAAGGCGTAAAGTGCTTCACTCTGGCAGAGTCTTTCATCAGAGAGCAATTTCTATGAAAGAAAAATAATGACAGAAACAACACATCAGTGAAGTATTTCTTGTTAAGGAACAAGATGTGTCAGGCCATCCAACAAAACTGATTAAGACATGGCTCAGAGGTAGAGTAAGGAAAAAAAAAGGTCCATGTCTCACAAAGCTACTTCAAAGACACTTCAAGAAGCTATTTCTAAAGTATTAGAACCAGTGAGATTAAAGCTTTTAATCTTACAACATTCTTTTTTATTTAAAGAAGTTCTAATTTGTAAGAAATTTCTTGTGAAGTGTTGTAGTTAAAAGTGCCAATTACAGGATTCATTATTTACTATTTCTCTATTAATCAAAGTTTAAATTAACTTACCACTAGAGGAATGGTTACTATCACCCAAACTCATCTCAACCTCAGGCATTTTAGACAACTCTGACATTTATAGTGTCAAACCTTACATCTGACCTACTTGTTCTAGGGTGCCTTTCGTCAATAGAGAGACAACCTCCCCTCCAGAGACACAATTCAGTTCTCCTGTTTAGACATCTGTCATTTTTGCCTTTTGTTTTCTTACCTGCAGAAAGTTATTAAGCTGGTTCTTGGATTTCTCCATGAATTTCTGGTCTATGGATTTGAAGGGCAGCTTGCTGAGAGAAGGCAACTGAACTTTCTTTAATGATGGAAAACACTGTGCAGGAGAAAAGGGAGCTCACTTAACACACATGTGCAGAAAAACACAGGTGGTTCAGAACAGAAATGAAAAGACTCCTTTGGACTCTCATCTGCCTTCCACACCCCTCTCAGCACCTTGAGAAACACCTTCTCATACCCACTATGGGCTGACACATTTAAACCCTTTCCCTTCGCAGCGCCATCATTATCTATCCCTTATCAGACAGAAAGGTTAAAGCACTGTAAAAGGAAAGCACCTCTGTCCCCAAAAGCTGTCTTTTCTAATACTTCCTTGGGAAGCCAGAGACAAAAATCTAGTTTTTGAAGCAGGCTCTTGCATGACAGTGCAGAGGATATACCATTTAGACATTGGGTTAGTCTAGTAAAACATTCATTATTAACAAAAGCAAACAAAAAAGAAAAAAATTATAAACAAGTTTCATAAGCATCTAGCAGAGGTCAGAAATATGCAGACAGACAACTAGCTCCAAAACGCTAAAAGCCAAAAGGCTGGCATAAGACCTCGCAATATTAAATTTTTAACTGATCTTCCCCTCTCCACTTTGGCATCACTGTCAAATTTTAGCAGTCTGCATCTTCTCCCTCCTCTAACTGAGATTTGTACCTCACTGAGTTTCCGGTGCAGGTTCTGAAACTCGCTGAGCCTCCTGGGAACGGTCCAGTTCTTCGTTTCAGCTCCACCAACTTCTTGTAAACTCACCATGACAGAGTAACAGGGCACTTGTTCTCCATTCTCTTCTAAAACCTTGCGGAGAAGAAGCCAACAGATAAGGTAAGCTACTTGGAAAGCAAACAGCAGAACATGTGGGCTGCCAGATGACTGGCTTGCAGCGTCAGTCGTCACCACTGTCCCATGCTTTTCTCGCAGTTTGAAGGCTACGCATGGAGCAACACCCTTGATGGACTACACTTTACCTAAAATGATATGTCAGTACTGAACCAGTCATCCAGCTAGCCACTACTACACTTCACATACTCCATCAGCAACCAAGTCTCCCTGACGTGTCTTCTTCAAACAGCTGCATATTTTATTTCAGTTTTTAAGGTACCCACCACGTAGCTTTCTGATTGCTTACCAACACTCCATCTCTCCCGCCTGCATTGGGTGTGGCACTTCAGGATGTGGTTCAGGGCATGGTGGTGACAGGTTGAGAGTTGGACTTGATGATCTTAGAGGTCTTTTCCAACCTTCATGATTCTATGATTCCTGACTGCTATCCCACTATTGCCACCCTTCCTCCCCAGTTCTGCAGCTGGGCCCTGCAGCAGCTGGCGCTGTCTCAGAGAGATTTCTCTGCTCACTTCAGCTATTCTGCATACACAGAACATGTGGCATCGAGGCAGTGTTTGCTTCCAAGGGGCTCACAATTAAAAAAAAAATACTAATGAATTGAGCTGTACAACAGCCAGAAGAAGGAGCAATCATTAACCACATTGTGCAACGGGAAAACTACAGCAAAGAAGCTAAATGATTTTTCTTGAGACAATGACAACAGTGTGACAATGTTATATCTTAATTTGAGGAGCCACCCAGAATTTCACCCTTACATCCTAATGGTAATAGATAATTTTACTTGTTTCAAGGACACAGCTAAATAAATTATGAAAGGCAAACAAGAGAAATGCATGAAATACATCGCTTTTTTTGGCCAAGCCAAACCCTCAAATGCTTGTCTTAATGTACATGCAAATAACAGAAAGGTATTATAAATTACCACTCTCACACAATCTTTTTGAGGAAAGTAACAATTTTTAAGCTTTGGGAGCTTTTTCCTTTTTTAAAGAATACATAACCAATCCAATTCAGATAAGAATAAACTTTAAAATTCATACAATTACAACACATTTTTTGAGAAGCCTGTAAAGGTCTGACAACACTTCATGCTAGTGACAGATAATAGCAATATTAAAAAAGCCACAGTACTCATCAACTAGTTTTGCCTCAGTTTTCACTAGCAACCTCTCTTCCCACACCTCTCGAGTGGATGGACTGCAAGAAGGAGACTGGCAGAGCAAAGCCCCTCCCACTGTAAGGGAAGATCAGGTTTGGGACCACCCGAGGAACCTGAACATACATAAGTCTGTGGGACCTGACGAGATGCATTCGAGAGTCCTGAGGGAATAGGCTGATGTAGTTGCCAGGTCACTCTCCATGATATCTGAAAGGTCATGGCAGTCAGGCAAAGGCCCTGGTGACTGGAAGAAGGGAAACATCGCACCCATTTTAAAAAAGGGTAGGGAGGAGGACCTTGGGAACTACTGACCTGTCAGCCTCACCTCTGTGCCTGG